AAGCATCAGCAGTGAAAAAATTAGGTGCAAAAGAAAATAGAGGACATCTGTGTAGATGTAAAACATTATTTAAATCGGTGGACTCCAGGATATGGATGGAGGTTTGTTTAGCTGCCCAGTTTTCTATTGCTTTAGTACCTGAAAGTGAGCAGTGCTGTGGGGCAGCCAAGCAGGCTGGTGAAGATGAGTTTCGGGCAGTACCTCTGCTAGTTATAATTTCAGATACAGGTTCATAATCTCCCGAGGATCTTCCATCGAAAGGGTTTTTGAACAGCCGTTGTTGTGTTTTACCTCTGTCACAGAAATGTCATGCTTAAGCACTTAAAAAAGATGTTTGCGGCAAGAAAATATCCAGTATTTCAAATGAAAGGTAGAGTTGGAAAACATGGCTGCTTTCCACACGCTTCCCACAGCTTTTGTTATTTCCTTGAAGAAGCATCAGCTGACTGATTTTTAGATATTTGCCCTCTATCCATTCCTCTTATATGATCCCACTGATTTAAAAATAATACTTAGTCTAATTATGACCTGCATCATTGCTCTTGGTGTGAGGATTTAGAGTAACAGCACCTTCTCTAACTGTAAGTTTCTGGTCAAGTAGTCAGATTTTTTTGTTTTGTCACCAAAATATGTGGGTACTGTTTGGTTCTTCCCTTTTGAAACCCAGGCAGAGAGGGTGACAAAGGAGGATGCCAGTCAGCACTGCCATGGGGAGGTGGAAAGTACTGTAATTAAAAGCATCAACAGCAAATGCCATCTTAATTTAGCAGCGTCCTGCTGGGATCTTTCTTTGAGTCATCATACCTCCTGATGCTTTCTTCCCGTGTCCAAACCTACGTGGAAAGGTTTAATCTGCTCAAAGTTTCTTCAGCACTGGATCAAAGAGGGGGAAATGAGTTAAACCTCGGCCTGCTCAAGCCTGTATGTAAAGACATGGAAGGAAAGTGAGCTGGATTAACATGGCAGAGGTGTAATTCATAGCTACTTCAAGTAGAGCTTCTCCCACCGTAAGTGGGACAAGATCCTGACTCTGAATGAGTGTTGTTATTGATAGCACTAGCTCAGTTTTAGAAGGTAACATCTGAAAGTCATATAGAGGAACTGGCTGAGCTCTTAATTAGCTACAGAAAGGTGCATCAGAAATAAAGGGCAGGGCATGATGTCCGGTGACTTCTTGTAGTGTTGCTCCCTACAGTTGCCTTTGTGCCCTCCTGCGGGGCCCTGAAATTGACCCTGTGTTGTGTTAGGGCATGGATTAATTTTTTAGGTATCTGTAGACCCTGCTTTCGTTTTCTTAGAATGAGCTTGGATACTATGTAAAGGGCTCTCAGAAAATGATAGTTGATGGTAAGCACTGTCATATCATTAAGCAATCATTTTCTTCTATTTTCTTCTTCATCCCACCATTTTACAGTATTTCTAATAGCAACTGAGAGAGGAGTTGCCAAATTTGTTTGAGGTGTTTGTTTTGTTTGTTTGTTTCTTAAATGTGTAGGTTTGCAAAGTTGTTTTGCGGGGATTAGTGAAGTTCCTGCAGTGAAAATTTGCAGTTATTCAACTAGTTTGCACTCCTTAAATGTCCCAGGTTTGTTGCTACAGAAGTGGGATTTATGGCAGAACCTCTGGTATTCTTGTACGGACCATTTCTCTGTATTTAAAGTGAAACCTGTGTCTGTCTGTGCTGGGTTCAGTCAGGAAAGAGTCAACTCTCTTTACCCTGGCTGCTAGGAAGCTGTTCCTGGATGCAGAGAGCAGCACTGATCAGGTCTCAGCTGGCGCTGGGGAATGCCTGCACTGAATTCAAGGTCTTTCTCTGTTTCTGATCCTGCAGCTGCGTTCCCAGCTCTCGCTGTCTGGCTACAGGCATAGCAGGGGACACACAGTTCAGGCACCTGACCCCAACTGACCAAGGGAGTATTTCATCCCATAGTACGTCATGCTCGGGGGGGAGCCTTTCCTCCCCCCCTTACTGCCTCCCGTTCACTCCCGTACACTTGCTAACACTCTCCCTGACTCCTGCGTTAGCTGCTTTGCTAACTCCTGTGCTGGCTGCTTCGTGAGGGAGTTGGTGGGTTTGTTTAGTTTTCCTGGTCGTGCTATCACTGATAGAGTTTGCTCAGAATCTGCTGCGATAGCTCTCGGGCTGCAATCACTCTTGGGCTCTGACTCTCATTTCTCAGCACCTGGTTTTGCATTGGTCAGTGGGTGGTGAGCAACTGTATCATATTGTATCATATGTTTTATTTTCTATTATTTTAATTACTTCTTAGTAGTATTTTTATGTATTAGTTTAGATGTAATTAGTAAATAGTACTTATCTCAATTTTACAAGCTTCCTCATTTCTTTTTCCTCTGATTCTCCCCCTCCACTGGAGGGGAGGGGGATTTGTGAGAGTGGCTTTGTGGTATTTTGCTAGCCGGAGTTAAACCATGACACTGCTTCTGTGTTATCAATTTCTTAGAACATAGAAGGATTTTAATTTAGGCAGAATTTATGGCAAGACATGATTGGGCTGAGGGTGGAGGTCCATCTTAAGTAATGCCTTTCAGATGAAAGATTTCTAACATGGGAGGCCAGTCTTTGTCAGGCCATTCATCAGTTACCTGCTCCGAATGCTATAAATGCCAATCCTTGCTAGAAACAGTTTCATTCACTCTTGTGAGGCTGTTTGTCAAGTCTTTGGTAATACGTACTTGTTACCTTAGCAACTTGCAGGGGTTAAACGGGTGTCTAGGAGGAACATACAGATCCCACAGGGTCATTTTGTTTTCCCCTAATGACAGAGAATATCTCCAAGCAAGAGGACCAGTTTTTACTTGTGAAGCAAAATAACCATTACAGAATTCCAAATTGCTAAATAACACTTGACTGGAATTTGAATGGGCACTAACCTGCTTACTAATTGAATATACATTTGCAAGTCTCTTGCAATTTTGTAGCCATAGGAGAGAGGAACCAAAAAGGACTGCTTTTTTTAGCTCCAGCAGAAATGAAAATTGAGATTCAACTTCCAAAGCAGACATTGCATTGTCCCCCTCCTGGATGTCAGAATGAAGATGTGAGCAGAGAGGGCCAAGGGAAAAATTTGTTCTGGCTTTGAATTTTACTTCCATTTATAGTTTAATTTGGTAAAACATCAGTACTATTTCCATAAAATTGAAGTTAGCCGATTTCTTCCAAAATGTTCTTGTTTCATTTTTAGAGATTGTGCTTGCTCAGCACCATCTAGTGGACCCATTGCCGTTGTCACGTAGAAACCAGCTGGGCTTTGCGAGCCATACAGCACTAGAGTACGCAGTCTTTACAGTCTGGCTGGCGTAACTAAAGTATGTTTGTGACTAATTGTACATCAGATGAGCAGTTGTTTAGTTGAAAAGGAGCGGTGTGAAGGAAAGAAAGTGTAAGATACGTGTGGGTAGTGGTGCCTGGTTACCTCCTGTGTTCCTTTAGTCCGTTGAGCTCCAGCCTGCTTGCCCGCTTCTCTGCCTTACCTTGCAATGCCATCCAGCATCCCTACAGCAGGATTTTGGAATACCATTTCTTTGTGCAGTACCACAGAGCACAAATCACAGCCTGATTGTCACTGTGATACAAATTAAAAATATGAGTTGGTGCTAACAGTGAGCTTTGAAGTCCTCACCTGAGGAAAATTCTCCGGGGTCTTTCTGATTCAGTGTTTGGTTCCTTGAAAATACATGGTTTTGTTTAAAGAAAAAAAAATCCTTTGGTAAAACCTCCCTATAGAGTGCACATGTGCAGAAAGCAAGAAATTTGTCAGGTCATCCCAGTGTGTGCCTTGGGCCTCTGGAAATGATAAGGGGTCTGCAGCTCCAGTCTTTTGGGTGTGCATGGGAACAGGTTTGCTTTTTCCAGCTCTAGCAAGAAGGGCTGAATCTCTAGAAGAAATTATGTCTAGAAGCCTGGTTGTTTCTGCAGCCCTGGCTACATCACCAGCATCCTACTAGTCCATCTTAAATTCTCTTTTGACTTTTTTTGGCTTTCTTTGGCAGCAAGCCTTTGACTTTGTAGCTCTGGTTGCAAATGAAGAGAGAGCAAAGAGAGAGATCTGAAGTGTCTGGGCAGCAGACCCTGACAAAAGCCACAGGCATGCGAGTGGGAGAAGGCAGCCAGTGCTCTTGCTCCGTGACACTGAGCAAGCGCCGGTGGTGAGGCAAAGCCTCTCTCCAGTGTAAGGGGCAGTGAGCGGCTCAAGACCAGGGATAGCAATGGGAAACAGGAGCAAAGCAAAGTTGGATTATAGCAAGTGCACCAAGTTGTAACATTTACCCCATCAGAGTTCCTTGCATTTTAACATTTCATCACTTTAGGGGCTGTTGTTTTTGTTTAGTTCACATGTTTTGGACAATGAAAATAAGTGGGTCAGTTTTAGTCTGTAAATCTGTATGCATTAGCACATTAACATTGTGCTGAGGTTTCCAAAAAAACTATTCTTAAATAATTCAGAAGCATTTCACTTCATTTTTCCAAAAGCTAAATGTGCAGACTAGTTTGTTTCCCAGGTTTAAGGGACCTAGATAACACTCCTCTTTGCTTTTCTAAGTTTTTATGTAGTGCAGCAGTCAGAATATTGCTTGTCTGCTGGCCTCCTCACAATACTGCATTGCAACATTACCTCTCCAGGCAGAAGTGGCTGGTTTTTCAGGTGAAGAAAATAAAGGTTTAGGGATTTTCCTTTTCAAGTTCTACATTTGGGACAATAGCTGTGGATATTGACTGTAGTGTATGTGTTCATCCAGTTGAATGGGTGCAATCCGGTTTGGAAATCCTCTCGGCTGCAGTAGAAAAAATGGGTCCGAAAAGGTCATAATGTTTTAGTAAATGAATTTAGTGACAGGATTCCTGTTTTGTTAGAGGATTGGGGATAAGTCCTACATGCTGGAAAATACCCATTTACAAAAGACACGGCTCTGCTTTTCTAACAGCTGTGAAGCAAACATTAGCTGGCATATAGGAATTCAAGAAAATGCTTAAAATTGTTTCCTCTCTTTCTGTTCCTCCTCTAGCTCTGGGATTGTACACAGTAAATGCAGTATATGGAGATACCATTACTATGCCTTGTCGTCTAGAAGTACCGGATGGTCTTATGTTTGGAAAATGGAAATATGTAAGTATTGCTTACTTTTACGTTCATTAGAGCTGGTGTAAGATGATGTGTAATTTTTGTGTGTAAGATTATAAAACTCCAATCGTTCGGATTTCTGCCTCGGCTACCAAGACATTCACTCCTGTGTTTGTAAGACTGCAAGATTCCAATCTGCGTAATTTCTGTCAAGCATAGATGAGAGGTTGAGGAATTAATCTCATTGTTCAAGAGGAATAATTATTCGGGGGTTCTCTGCCAACCTGTATTAGAGATCTGGCGCGTTACCCAGTGGTGTCTCACTCGCTTGACAGAGCCATCGTTGTGCATTTGAATGCTTTTGAAGCGGGCTGCCTGAAGCAGGGTGTGCATCATTCCTGGGAAAGCGCTGTCCCCAAGCCTGGTTGATCTGTCACTCAGTACTGTTTCATCCTTCAGTGTGTTTTATGCACAGCGAAGAAGAGGGCAGAGCTGACCTTGGTAGAGTTGGTGGTGGTCTCACTCTGCCATTTCTGGTGTGTGGAGAGCAGAGGCAAAACCGCCAATGCTGTCCTGGTGGTCTCGGTCAGCCTGCAGTAGGAACACCACAGGGTGCACTTCTCCTACATGCAGTCAGCATCCAGGGCCAAAAGAAGAAGCAGCGTATCAAAGTCAAATGAAAACTTGAAGAATACGTGGAAGAAACTGCCAGGATACCAAAACTCTTTTCCTTCTCAAACTGACATCTGGACGACTGGTTTTCATCTAAATCTCCTCGTGTGCTCAGATCAAAATGTGACCAGTGATTACAGGTGATGTTTACACTCGCAGTGGATTTAAAATTACATGGTTCTCTCTCTCTTTTTAAAATGGCATCCACCTGCCTATTTTACAGGAGTCTGGTCTGCCACTGGGGATGTTTCGTAATCCTCTATGGCTCCTTCCCTTGGACCTGGAAGTTTGCAGCTTTTGCAGCCCTCATCTACTCAACAGTTGCTGCTACACCAACATGGTTTTGGAAGTGAAGTCAGAATTCTGTGGAGGAAGTTTCCCTAAAAGGGACAGTGAAACTGTTTCATATTAAGTGTTCAGAAGATGCAGGGCCTACATTTTGCAATGTGCTTTTCACTTTGCTGCCTTTTCTTGGGAAGAAATCCATCGGTATGAAGGTGTAGATGCAAGGCTGTTTTGAGAAAAAGGAATGTACTTTCTGGTGCGTTTGGGTTGCTCATCTCAGACAAGTACCAAGCAGCAAATGGAGACGTTACAGTTTCTACTAAATGGAAAGAGACATGAAACCTAATGTGGAGCGAAGTCTGTCCAATTGCTTTTGTATGAAATTGCTGACTCACGCCACGCTGTCAAGTGAAAGTGATACCCATTCTCCCAGGGCAGCTCCTGGGATGGCAACACTTGTTTTTAGCAGGGAGAGGGTTTGGTTTAGGTTTTTTTGGTCAGGTGATTTTTTCATTGGAGGAAGGAGGAACTCTGTTTTCTGCTCTGCTGCCTTGGGAGCAGCACTTTAAGTTGCTGGTGGGAGCCTGGGGGTGCTGGGAGGCTTTCACCGTGGCAGGAGCACGTGTTGCTCTCTTCAGCGTCCACCTGTGTGCATGCTCGTGCGCTGAGTAGGCTTATGGGGTTAAGAGCTCGTTTGCACTTGACAGCCAACTTTGCGTGTGTCGAGTCAAGGCAAAGCTTTCTTTCCTGCGTGACAGACATCTGGAGTAATCTGAGAGTTAAAAGTGAGAGAGGGTGAAAGACTGTAAGGGATTTTAAACTTCACGTTAGCTGTTGCCTCCTGCTCCCTGCCCTGCTCTGACACCACTCATCTCTTGTCACATCGTCATGCTTTTGTGGGCTCTGGAGTCAAGCTGAGGTATTGTGCTGGGAACAGCACTCCCATCAGTGCTGCGAGGTGCAAGGGATAAAAGGGAACGAAAACCTCTGCCAGCCCCCAGCACAATACTGAACGTAAAGATAGAGTCAACCTTTTACCTCACTTTATTCAAAGGCAGACACAGTCAGTCCCTGCCCTGGGCAGGGAGGGGAATGAAATCCTGCAGCACTCAGGCCCTAACTTTGTCTCTCATAAAAATAAACTTTTAATATGGTAGGCTTGTGCAAGGCTGTCAACTTTGTGTTCCTCCTTAGGATAGCAACTGCACACTCCTTAATTTAAGGAGGATGTCTAGAAAATGGTATCTTGCAGATTATCCTGAGATGCATAAATAACAATATTTGATTTTATGGGTATTCCCATGCCACCAGCTCTTGGGTCCTTTAAAAACAAAGAAAAAAAAAAAGCTAAAAACTAATTTAGAACAAAACAGGCAGTTATGCCTGATTACATCCTGCATTTGGAATGAAGTCTGAATATCCCAGACAAACAATATGAATATGTAAACCAATCTTGGAAAAAAGGAAACAGAAGCTTTTGAGCCAAGCTCACGAATGCTTCTGTTGCAAAAACTTTGTCATACACACAGTGGCAGGTGGTGCCAGAACCACCAGCCTTCATCAGAGAAAGCCCTATGCTATGCTGAGATTGAGCCAAAGGATTGAAGTTATTTCTATTGATGATATTTTCAGTGTGTACCATGGCAGTCTTAAACTAGCTCTCACATTACACTGAATTTCTTGTTTGTACAGCAGAAATAAATCAGGAAAAAAGCCATCTGATGTAGTTTTCAGATTTTTTTAAATTATGAGTTTGCACCAATTGCCAGTCTTCAGGAACTTCTAAATGAGTGTTTATGCAAAACAGAGGTGTTTATCCTTTTATCACAGGAAATGCCAAATGGATCTCCAGTATTTATTGCCTTCAGATCATCAACAAAAAAAAATGTACAGTATGATGATGTACCTGACTACAAAGACAGGTTGAGTCTCTCAGAAAACTATACGTTATCCATCAAGAATGCAAGAATCAGTGATGAAAAGAGATTTGTATGTATGCTAGTTACAGAAGATGATGTTTCCGAAGAGCCAACGATAGTCAAAGTCTTCAGTAAGTAAATCTCGTCATTAATACTGTTAACATTCAGGAGCACTTTGAGTCATAAATTGTGTAAACTTTTGTTTAAGGGAAAGAAAAAGAGTAAGTTTGGCTGAGTAAATTACTAAGACTAGCAAATTTCTGTAGCTTTCAAAAATGTAATCTACTGGTGGCATTTACGTAACAGGACTGCCTGCACTTGCAGTTTATTCATGATAAGTGCTGGCTCAAAGAGAATTTTAGGCTTTGATAATGACTCACTTATGTGATGTCATTTGGCCTTGGAAATGAAAAATGTAAAATTAGCACTGATTATTTTCCATTTGTTCTCCGAGCAAATTTTTCTGCAGGAGGGAAGCATTAACTGTGTGCGGCCTGCAGGATTAGATCAGTGGGGCGGTTTCAGCCGGCTCCAAGCAGCTACAATGCAATGGTACGAATGGTGCGTGAGCGAGTGAGAGGCTGCACGATGAGTTGCTAGCCCCAGATGCTTATTTTGTCTCCTGCTGACCTCTCAG